AGTTATAAGCTTCCAAAGTTGGAGGAAATTGCATTTGCGCATCTTGAAGTGCCACGCCCCTTTTTTTGGGGCGTCAATATCTCGAAAACTACAAAACCCATAACACTAATTTTTTTTTAAGTGTTGGTTTTTCACATAGTGGATCATTTTTATGGAGTTTCATCAAAATCTGAGAGGATCATACTGGAACTTTTTTTAAATCTGGTTGATTTGACACGGAATGACCCTTTTCTAAGCCTAAAGTAGTAGTAGTAGTAAGTAGTAGTAAAGTAGTAGTAGTAGTATGGAATGTACTGTATAACTAGTACTATAATACATTTTTTAATGACCTTTGTAATTCGCTTTTCTTAAAATAGATAAAAATAGCAAAAATTAGATGAATAAATCTAGCGATGACGTCATTGGCCGAACGTTCGAAAAATAGAAGGTTCGTAAATGAGTAGTTCGTAAATGGGAAGGTCGACTGTAGAAGCGTTCATGTTAGTAGCTAACAAAAATTTACAGAAAGGTAAAATAAAAAAAAAAGATGATCTCAGACAATAACAAGAGATTGTTATATAGGCCTTTTTCAGGCTGTGGTAGATATCTTCGATCGATGACAAACAATGCTGAGCAGTGAAGAGTAACCAACAGAAATACAGTGCATGTTGCTATTATTTCAATTAGGTTTTGACAGACTAAACAAATTTTAATTATTTTTGTTACTGATAGAGTACATTGATATATATTCTTTGCGAACATTTTAAAGAAAAAATTATGTCGATACGACCCTCCGTTAAGGAGTTATGATTCTTTAAGTAACATGACCTCCGAAAATATTGCCGGCACGCTAAATGATATTCGGTCGAACAGTGAAATAATGGCAATGTGTGTGTTAACACTACACAAAATCGGTTTTCCATTTTCCAGTTAAGTTTTGACAGACTAAATTTTCAATTTTTTTTTTTATACACTACGTAGATATATCCTCTGCGAACATTTTAATGAAAAATTTATGTTGACACGACCCTCCGTTGATTTTTTAAGTAACATTACCTCCGAAAATATGGTTGAAACGCTGTTATTTCTATTGGTTACGCTTCACTGCTCAGCACTGTTCGTCATCGATCAAAGATGTCTACTGCAGTGTGAAAAAGGCCTATTAGACTGGATGCGGATCACCAAAAAAAAAAAACACCAAAAATGTCTGATTTCTATCTATGGGTGTGTTTCTACTGATAAACACAAAATAATTGATTTTTTAAAACCGTTTTTTTAATGAGTACCAGACAGCCTGCTGGCGTTGCAACTGCATTTTGATTTTTCGAAAATCAGTTTTCATGGCAGAAATTACGTCACCATTTTGTTTATACAACACGTTATTTTCCTAACTGTATAGGATAGTATCTTTCTCATTCCTGTCATGATGACAAGGAGTAAGATACGATGTGGGGCGAGAAGGCAAATGTTTCGGCTGTGCTCATCGGCACAATTATGAACGAGCGACCAAACGAGGACAACCGTAGGCCCAAAGGAGCAGCGAGGCCTAGGCCTAACATCCCCCCTTCCCCACAAAATAATTAAAAAACGAATTCGTCACTTCACATGTTTGTTGACGTTTTTAGCTTGTAAGCCTAGGACATGAACAAGAGGACAAATTTTTTTGAAAGTTCGCACCTAATACGATCTACAGTAGTCTTTGCAGTGATTGACCTGGAATTCACATTTCACCTGATAATCGCTTTTTTTGTGTTGTAGCTAAAAGGTGCACAGCCAAAATCTGTTATTTGCCGTTCAAACACACTATCCATTGCGTGTTTTTAATCAATTTTTTTTAATCGCTTTTTTCAAACTGGTCCCGTTTCTACTGCGAGAATAAAAGCGATTTTTTGAAAAAAGCGATTTTTAATCGATTATTTCTTTCTAGTAGAAACAGGCCCTATGAATACTGAACACTAAAATGTGACTAGCATATTGGTCACCATATTTTAGTTGACTTTATTTTATTTGACATGACAAATAGTTTGTATGCTAAATCATGAACCCCTATCTCAAGGAATCAAATAAAGAGAAAACATTTCAAATTTAAAGTGGTAGTCCCAGATTGACATGGAATGATTTAGCATGAGCCCTATTTAACTCCATCAATCATCGAAAATCACTGCCCTTCTTATCTTAGTGATTCCTGTTTTAAGTGTGTTAAACATGACTTAATTTTGGCTTGAGGGCCTCTGAAACAATGTAAAATTGCTTTTGACCACTACTTCATATTTAATGAGAGCCAACCAGCAAGCAAGATTTTGGGAGCCTTGCCAATTCTACTTTACGGTATATGACTGACGTTTTAAAAATTATAGAATTTTTTTTTTTCTCTAAAACTCTGTCCACTATATCAAAATTTATGTGAAAAATGTGTATAATGTACCCATATATCGGCATGATGATGCCATATTTTGCCCAAATATGCCCAAATATGGACACATCGGCTAAGTATTTGTTAAAAAAAATGTTATAACAAGTAGAGCTGATTTTGGGAGCCTTGCCAATTAGAATGTTTTTCTTTTTTGTTTGGTTTTTAATCTAACATTTTGTCCACACTATCAAAATCCTATGTGATAAATGTGTGTGATGTACCTATGGGCATGATGATAATGATGATATTCCAAATATGCCTACAGTAATATGGACATGTATAAAGTATTGGATACATAAAATGTGATAGTTTGGACAGAGCTAGATCTAATTGAAGTAGCAAGACCTTGGAATCAGAACCTGAGTTCAGTTTCAGTTCTTATTTTGGATTACAATTTAAATTGAATCAGTTGACCACCACATTATTAATTAATAAATATAATAAATACTGAAGGAGATTACACATTGTGTACATTACGATTAGCGCTGTATTCAATTACTTACAAGAATAATATACTGTAAAGTATTATTACAGTCTTTATTTAAAATGAAGTGCAATACATTTGCAAACAATACCATGGAAACTAATCCATTTTTCATTCAATTATTATTTTTCTTTTACTGTACCTAACAGCAAATATTGTAAACTCATTAATGCATTTATGTACCATCAGCTCATATGAAACTATAAGATGTTTTGAACACTTATTGCTTGTGGAGTGAAGTTGTTTTGAGTTGTGAAAAAGTTGTAGTGGCCTACAGTATTGAAACATAGGAAACTACAATAGGATTGAAGGTAAAGCACCCTATAACCACCACCAGTTCACTCAAATTAATGACAAATTAATAATTGACTCACTTTTACATGTTCCCCATCTTGCATTCTTCAATGGACAATCCTTGTTTGGAAATATATCACCAACTGGATAATCAGCACATACATTACCGGTTGAACAATAATAACACTTAATAGAAAGAAGAAAAATGAATATTTCTCATAAAAGCCAATAACAGATCTTTCAGCACAATGGGAGAAAACTTTGATGAAATTGATTTTTGTTGCAATGGAGAGACACATGGTATGACCAATCAAAGTGATGTTATGAAATTCCACTGCTGCTCAGACTTATTTCACTTTTAAAAAACACAAAATATTTTTTTCAATTACTATACCTGTGGTAAGGTCTGGAAAAACCCTAAACAGTTAATATTTTTTTTTAATGAATTACTTCTTGAAAAGATCAAGCATGCATTTCCAATGAGACACAAATTGACACAAATCAGTTGTTACAGATTTATTCTGAGTTTTGCAGTAGGCCTACATCTTAAACATTTTAATAAAACACCTTTAAAATTATCTCCACATGTCATGCCTCACCATGCAAAGTAGATGATGAACTGAAAGAGGTAGATTGACAATGACATTGACAATGACAATTTCTTTTATTTTCTTTGAGCATCAATATATAATAAATCATACAATAATCCAAGATAATGTAACAAAAAATTAAGCAGTCAAAGAAAAGGGAAATTCCAGAATCATAATGCTTGTAAATGGAACACCCCATTACGCCATTAAAATATATCAATTATATAATCGGTTCAAAATTCAGAATAAATGTTATATGAAATCAAAAACACCATTGGAAGGAGGTGGTGTATTGAATTCCGATCGCTGCTCTCCTTGTATTTCAGCTGGAAGGCTGAAATGCAAGTTACGATAGTGCACCGTCTTTCGGATGGGACATTTAACCTGTTGGTCCTGTGTGCATTATGGCATGTGTGCACTTAAAAGAACACAGGGCCCCCGTCACCTAGGGCCTCGAAGGTGCCCCCACCCATAGGGTCCTCCCTCGGGCACCCTTACCCAAAAGGGCTTTGTTGATACATAACAGCATAATGTGATCAACAGCATAATGTGTCTCTGAGATCAACTGTTGTAAGACATATACAGTACCATAGCATATCCCGCCTGCGGCTACCTTAAATTTTCCAATTGTTTTAATGGAAATTATACTCGCATTTTAAATCTATGAGTGCCATTTCCAGCCACTTCGAGGTGCCGTATTCATAAATGATCTTACCTTAGCCCCAACCATGTTGGGGCTGGTTGGGGCTGAGGTGGCATAGGTGTGTGAAAGTGCCTCCCTACCCACATTCCCTCTTTTTTGAATACCTTGATCGGCAACTGATATCATATAATTTATTTCGTTGTTAAAAGCAATCTAGAATACAATGCCAAATACTAGAAAAACGAGCACATTTTAACTCCCACAATCAAAGTGGCAACCGGACCAAAAAGGGGCTCCAGTCTCAGAAAGCCACAAGGCCCCAGGTTCATCATTAGGCCACTGCCAGTGTAGTGCCCAATCACCACCAGAAGGACCTCACTGAAAACAAGTATTCTTCCGACTTTTGTGGGTTATCCTTTGTGTTTACACCGAATATATCCATCCACCCATAAGGGACAGATATAGAGAAATAATTTTGTTTAGAAATGGTGGAAACCACAGACATTAAAAAAAATTAGCTTGTTTTGGAGTAGGCCTACAGTGATGTCATGCTCCCTTCTTTCTGGTCTTTCTTCTCTCTTTCTTCTTTATTTTTTGGGGGTTGTGATAGACCCATGTCTCCTAGACCACAGTGGGCTGTGAGTAGTAATGACTTAGGCCTAGAATTACCAATATTTTTAGCCTAATACCGACTGTTATTAGTCAACATAATAATAAAATGATTGTTTAAAATAGATAAATAGACTCAATAAGTGTTTTATTTTATTAAACTTAAACTAAACTGATGTTGAAAATTTAACGTAGCACGACCGTCTAGCAAAAAATGGGGATTTTCCTAGGGCTGCCTAGAGCAAGAATACGTTGTTAACATGGCAGTAGCCAGCACTTTACACGCATTTCCAGTTGTTTGTTGTTTAATAATCGGCTGAAAAAGATGAAATTTCTTTATGTGAACATTTATAAATAATGTCAATGTTTAAAAATAATTGAAAACTTAACATTATGGGAACGGCTTGGAGCATAAAAATAGGATCGGCTTATACACAGGTGACACAAAAAATTGTGATATTCGCGTCCTAATTTAGGGGTCGGCTTATACACAGGAATATACGGTACATTTAAGTATATTTAGCAGTTTTTTTAAATAAATAAACACCTATTTTTGAATTATGTTCCATTTTGGCTTGAGTGGGTATTGCTAAACCCCGCAAACCTCCAAAAAAACACCGCAAACCCCATCCAAACTCTGTGATAGTAATTGAATCACATAGTATAGGACTTAACTTGGTATCTCAATAAAAAAAATCTGAATTTTATGTTCATCACAACCTATTTTTGGGGTAAAAAGGCCATTTTTTGTATTAAAAAAATTGCTAAACCCTGCAAACCCACCAAAACACAATGCAAACCCCCATCCACACCCTGTGATAGTGTTTAAATTTAGCTAGCAAAATGATTTTTTGTTCCAGAGTGGATTTTTGATATGCCTTTAATAATAGAATCAACCTTAAAATAGTTTTTTGGCTATATTTTATGAAGTTATAGGCAATTATATACAATTTTACCATGACGTCACTGGTGAAAAAGTAACAAAAGATCGTGTAAATAGCGCTGCGTAGGGTATCCACTGCGTAGGGTATCCACCGCGTACGATCTTTGCGTGCATGCTGTAACAATCACAATTTACAGTCATGGTTAATACAGCATACACGCAAAGATTGTACGCGGCGGAAACCCTACGCGGTGCTATTTACACGATATTTTGTTACTTTTTCGCCAGTGACGTCATGGTAAAATCGTATATAATCGCCCATAACTTCATTAAAAAAAAGCCAAAAAACGATTTTAAGGTTGATTCTATTATTAATGGCCTATCAAAAATCCTCTCTTGAACAAAAAATCATTTTGCTAGTTCTCTTTTAAATCATGTAGTACAGGACTTACTTGGTATATAAGTAAAAAAACCAGAGCCTTGCAGGCGTCAACGTTCCTATGCATGATACAGGACTTAAAAAGTATATAGGTCCTATAAATATATATATATATATACATGTATATATATATATACACGTACATATACATACACATATATATATATATACGTATACACCTATATATATATATATACGTATATATGTATATATATATATATATATAT